CAACTTACAACCGTTCAGTGACTGTTCGAAGTTACAATGGCACTGAAAAAAGGGACTTACAACCGTTTCTCACACTTATGGCCGTTGCAGCATCCCCAGGGCCATGTGATCAAAATTCAATCGGTTGGCAACTGACCCATATTTACGACGGTCGCAGCGTCCCGTGTGATCGACTTTTGCAACCTTCTGACAAGCAAAGTCAATGGAGAAGCCGGACTCACTTTAACAACCGTATGACTCACTTAACAACTGCAGTCCTTCAGTCGTTAATAACTGATTCAGAGTTAACAACCGTGGCAAGAAAATGGGCAAAATAGACAAAATTCACTTAACAATCAAGTTACTCAGTCACAGAAATGTGAAGCTTAATTGTGGCCACAAACGTTGAGGACTATCACTGTGTTGCCAAAACCTCCCTACAAAATATAAACCAAACTTGGGAGTTTTTACGCTGCAGCTGGACTAACCAGCTGCAAGTTGGACCAAACCTCGAGTTGTGGCTTTGCTTTCCTTGGAGTTTCTTTCAACCCGGAACTTCAGCCAATGCAGAAAAAGGGAAAAGCCTCCATGCCCCTCTCGTCTCACCAAGGCCAACGTGCTTTATGAATTTTCAAAGGACCTAAGTTCACTTTTAAGGCACAAGGGGCAAAAGTGGGAGAGATCTTTCAGAGCTGACCTATCTCATGGCGCAACATGCCTTCCAGCCAGTTCTGACGCGCTCCAGAGAGGTTGATTGCTAACGTTGGGCGGCTGTTTTCCACCATCATGACCGCCTGGGAAAGGAGGTCTTCTGTGAGCTGAACCACCACCTGGAGAAAACAAGCAGAAGGAAGACAATGGAGACCGGGGATCTCAGGATGGTTCCCTTTGGAGCAGAACCCCAGAACTCACCTCTCCAGAGCAGCCTTCCTTCTGCATATACTTCCTGGTGATGGACCAGATTTGGCATTTGGTAAGCAGCTTTCCACCATTGGAGGCCTCAAAGCTCTCGTAAGTGCCATATTTTTGAAGGACAGCATTGAGTATTCCAGTAGCCTGCAACAGATAAACGAAGTGGACATCAAAAGGTTTTGTTCTGGTCTGGGGTGCAATTAAGGCTGCACTGAACATCCAGGTAGCTGAGCTGAAGACTGGATTCACAAATCTCACCGGACTAGATAAATATGGGGATGATTCAGATGGTTCTGGAATCATTCCTTATATTGGCATGTTATTTGGATCAAGTCATCACAGTAAGTAACTGTCATTGATTATTGCCCCCCCCCCCCATGTTTTCTGAACAGAGAAATATAGTTTTGCTAGTCCAGGTTTAGGGTTTGGGGTGTTATAGGAAACCAGCCGCCATTTTGCGGCATAACTGTAATGCCGCCAGGGGCATTATAGGGGAGAAGGTCATAAAGTATCAATATCCGAAAGCCAAGTTGGCAAACACCAGCCATGGTAGCCCCAAGGGGGTTATTGGCACAATAGGCCCCACACCAAAACCTCCTTGGAAGCCGTTCGATTTGCAGTTGCTCAGCCTTCCTGCATGGCAAATGGGATGGCATAGAAATGCTGGTGGCACAAGAGCCTCCCATTTGATCATATATTCCTTTAGCCTGCCATTTTTAAAATTCCTCTTTTGCTAAGGGAGGAAACCCAGTTACTCAAAGCAGTGTTCCTAAACTGGGAGTAATTGGGAGATATCCTGGG